CAACAAGAGAACTAAAGGAAAATGAGTAAGATAGAAGACATTAGGATGCAGTGCCTTAAGAAATTAGAACATATTACTCTGTAGTATAATTTATGAGGTTAATGGACAGCGTATTACTCCCTCAGTAGCTTTAAAGAAATTGCTTTTTTAAACTTGGCTTCATTCTAATTAATTTCTACTTTACAGTTTCTATACTACAGTTATTGCCTTTTTCTAATTTTACCCTTCTATTTTCAACACTGTGGTGCACCTTGAGCTTTATAACATTCTTAAATACTCTAAAAAGATACTTGATGAAGATTATATAAACACAATAAATAAAGGTATACTAGTCTTTTAAACTCTTTTTTTGGAATATTCTTCTGAACCTGCTTTTCATCATTTGCAATGGAGCCAAAAACTCACTATTTTTGGCTTTGGAATATGATGGAATAAAACAAAATGGCTCACTGTCTGCGCTTCTTTGTTATGAAGTAGCAGTTAGTCCATGTAAGTTTTGACGCGATTTTCATTATGGGTCATCCGGAAACAGTCTCTTTGTGCTTTAGTACAGGGGTAAGGTTGCGTACATCCGACCCCCTTATCCCACTGTAGGTGGGAGCCTTTGCGGCACTGGGGTAATGATGATGATGATATTCTTCTAAACCTATTATAGTATCTGCTCTTGTTAATGCCAACATCCTTGATTGGGATGAGACTCGAACCTGCGGCCTCTTTGGGAGATCAGCTGTGATGCCATCAAACCTCCTCTTTGGGATTGGAATAGTCTTTTAAACTCTTTTGTCTATGTATTTTAGCAACTTCTCAAGTATGTGTGAGAACTTTAGAGTGAACTCCTTGACTAGAAATTTTCTCTGATTGGTAGATAGTACATACATAAGGATTCAGCAAACATCGACCTAAACCGAAGCACACGTCCACCAGGCAACGACATTATCCCTTAAGATTCATAAGAACAACAGCTATACATATATGTGACCATCACTATACCCTATTCTAGAGGTACTTTCATATTAAAAGTCAATACCGTCTTCAAATAAAACTTTGAGCTTTTATAAAAGGTTTGAGAGTTGAGACACTTCAGGCAAAAGGAAACACAAACACTTTATACAGAAGAATTGAAATAGCAACAAAATTTTAAGATTAGAAAGGCCCATTAACTCCATCAAAAAACACCAATCCGTTTTGCATTAAAATTTCAAAGTATTTTGTCTTTTTTATACTGTAGTGTAACTCATATTGGCAATACTTTAACTGTTACTGAAAAAATATGCTTATATTACACATGGAGAGAAACACATATGCAACTAATGTCTATAAACAAGATGTATGGCTAATAATACCTCTAACTCTATGATATTAGTTTGAACCTTCTACAAGAAGTTGCAGGTTAAGATAAAAGAGAAAAACAATAACTCAACCAAATTATGAAAGCATATCAGTAAAAGAATGGAATACAAGCTCTTTCTACACACCTGCTAAAATTCTACGCGCTTCCAGTAAAACAAATTAATCATTCAAACAACTAAACTAAGGAGTATTAACTAGAACCATTTGGATGTGAATACACAGGCCTATGACCTATTAGACACAGATCTATCTCCTTAGTTTATGTACCAAATGATCAAACAAAAATCTGAAAGCGTTAAAAAAGGTTGTAAATCAAAATAGGTACTACTATAAGTCTATAAGATAACCTTCATTGTGATATTAGCATGAAACAAGCTATTGCGTAATTAATACAAATTTGAAATGCTATGAAGTTCACAACGAAAAAGTTATTACATACGGAGTAATAATTTGCATAAGTATGAAGACAGATAATGATCATTACCTCATCCTCAGCATCCTCTACTTCCTGATCTTCCTCCCCAGAATCTCCGTTATCATTGACACCATCATCATCTTCCCCCTGCTCATGTGCATCAATTTCCACCAACCTCCGAGTACTTCTCAGATCCCAAGCATTATCCAGTTCCTCCCCATCCGCATCGCTATCATCTTCTACCACATCATCTTCCTCATCACTACCATCAATCTCATAAACATCTGCAGTAGGAGAGGCATCACCATCTACTTCATCAGTCGATACATTATCTTCCTCATTTTCATCATCTTCTGCTGGAGCTATTCTATGACCATTGGACAGCTTATGTGAAATCACTTGTTTGAATCCCCTAGACCGTGCAGAGGACTCCGCCTCTTCCTGATCGGCATCACTCCCCTCATCCACATCAACAACCCCATCATTCACATCTTTGATCCCATTACTAGCCCGGCTAGGTCTATCTTCTCTATCAACTTCGCCACTCCCTGGACCATCATCAACCTCGTCCACCTCTAACACCGGCCTTTCATCGCCATCTGCATCCATATTATCCTGGTACTATATCGACTTAATCAATCGTAAATCCCTGGCCTGATAGATAATTCCCAGCCCTTGTTAGCTGACACACATACAGATCAAGCGAGACAAGTATGAGTTCTGCTAGCGGCAGAAGACTATCAGAATTCCTGAACCCTGCTCTTCGACAAATCGATCCTCAATCCTGTCTCCAACGGGGAATCCTGACGACGCGATTATTCTATTTTCCGACAAAATTATTGAATTTCACGGGTTTATGACGCCGGTGAATCCCGGTGCCTCTAAAACGTTCCGAGGGCAAGGGAACTTGAGAGTTCTTCGTTGTTTTCTTTTGAAGTTATATTTCGCCGTTGGATATGCAAGTCGGAGATCGATGACGTGGATAGGCATCTACGGTAAAGGTTCAGGATGTTTCTTTGACTTCGAATTTAGGTCTTTTGCGAATTGCGATTGCTTCTTCTTTTTATCTATGTTGTAAAAACCGGACCGGGAAGCGACCCGGTCGAGCGATCGGGTCACGGGTCAGCCCGGACCCGGCGGGTCAACCCGGTCAACACCCGGAAAACCCAGTCAACAAATAAATATAATTATTATTTTAAAATATACAATTTTTAACTAAACATAAAATATATATTAAATTAGATGGATATTAAATATCAATATGATGCTTATTAAAAAATGAAATATTATACGGAGTATAAACATTTAACTCATAATATTAGTAATCACATATACTGTATTAATGATGTTATGTTTTTATTGTAATTATTAATTAAAAAGTAAGTTTACTCCGTAACAGATACATAGTATAAGATATACCCCGGAATATATTAAATATGGTTAAGTAACACATTGTACCAACATTCCAAAGCAGCTTCACGGTTTGATGTCTCTCCTCCCTACTTGCACACCTGGGTTCGAATCTCCCTTGGTCCATATTTTTGAGTTAATTCCGGGTTTTAAGAAATTTCCGGGTTTGGGCCGTCGCGGGTTACGGTCCGGGTCTGTCGGGTCAACGGGTTTTTCCGGGTTCAGCCACATTTGTGGGTTGGGGTTCAACCGGACCGGATTGGACTCTGGGTGACCGGGTTCCGGGTCGACCCGCCTGGTCCGGTCCGGTTCTTACAACATAGCTTTTTATAGGTGATTTTTAAGAAATTATTTTAAAAGTATTCAAAAAAAAAATATTGTAAAAGTAATTTATAGTAGGATAGATGGTGTTTGTAATATTTTGATAAATTACAAAAACATTCATCATTTTAGTAGGTTTTCCTCCATTAAAACCTCGAACACGTAGATATAGTTATATCCTTCTGATGGCTTGATTGGTTTGAAGATATATTCTATGGTACTCATAAGGTGTCGTACTTTTGTCTACATAGATCAATCAGAATCATACAGTTGAATAAATTTAAATATGATTTGGATCAATCAAATGCATGGTAGGTACAGTACCCCATTTTTAAAATGGATACCGGTAGGGCTGGATTCGGATCGGGTCCAAAACCGATCCTGTGTAATTATAAATCGAACCAATTTTTCGGTTATTCAAATTACACTAACCGAGACCGACCCGACAGTGGTCAAGCATTATTCAAGCAATGGGAATCCACTCCACCAACGCATCTGAAGTGCTACTAATTTGCTTTGACTCATATTATATCTTCTCCACAAGCGATTAAATATAAAAAAAAACTATTATTATTATTCAAAATCGGTTCGGTTCAGTTCAAACCGATATTTTGCGTATGTAAACCGATTCCGAACCAATTTTTTGTCGGGTCCCGATTTTCGGGCCCCAAAATTTATCGGTTCGGTCTGGATCGGGTTTTCTTCAATGCGGTTCGGTTTTTTTCGGTTCGATTTTCGGTTTTTTCGGTTTAAAATGCCAGCCCTAGGTACCGGATTTGTCACCTTGGTTTGAAAACCAAATGTGAAAGGAAGATTTCTCCCCGGTAGTAGCGCGGTGAGGGTGCCAAATAAAATGGCTTGTCCATCTCCGACCTTCTTGTTGCTTCCTCGTCGGTGGTAGAACGTTGTTGCACAGAAAGGAGGTTTTTAACAGTGCAGAGCTTCACCGCCATGTCTACCTCCTTTTATCGAAGTAATTTGGCACAACTTCAATGCAAAGAGCTTCGCTGCCATGTCTACTAGGGCTGGGTCCGGAAAACCGAAAACCGAAACCGAATCAAAAAATAACCGAACCACAGCCAAAAGCAACCGAATCGAGAAAAAACCGAAACCGAAGGGAAAAACCGAACCGTTTCTATTCGGTTTCGGTTTCGGTTCTGGCTCTCCAGAACCGAACCGAACTGAAAAACCGAAACATTTGAAAGTATTTCATTTTTTAGATATGGGCCATCCGACAATGGGCTTAGTGAATTACTGGGTTACTAATTTGTTACTCGAGTCTGGTAAGACCGTAAGACCTTCACCCTAGACAGTAGACATGATACATCATACTCATTAGGTCATACGCTTCTACCCTACGAATCCTGCCTTCCAATTTCCATCAATTCACAGCTGAGCAGTTCTATGGACGATGAGATGAACTCATGAACTCAGGAAAAACTGAACTTCTCCCCATCAATTCGCAGTTATGGTTCGCATAGGCATCAATCTTGCCGTCAGAGATACGCACAGCAGTGGTCCGTATGCTGTAATTACAACGAGAAATCAGGTCTGTATCTTTTCCCTCAGTTTATTACTTTATTGGACATACATTTGCTTTTTTTCAAAAACGAGATGAGGCATAAACTATCTAGGAATTGATTAATGGAGTACTATTTGTTCAAGACCTTTGCTAAAAAGTAATATTCCTTTGAACAAGGAGCATCTGCAGAACTGCCAGGACATACCTCTAAAGCATGCTAACCAAATTAGACTGCCTTTGTTTTTTAAAGTTCATTCCAGTTCGTTTTTTACTGGTGTTTAGAAAATAAAAGCGATAGTATTAATAACAACTTTTTATACCTTTTTATATTAATACTCTTAGTTTATTAATAACAACATTTCAATATGTCAATAGATGTTTTTAACATTATATTATTTTGTGTGAATGTGAGACAGTATGAGACTATGAGTAGATAATTTTCTTTACCTGCAATACTTTCTATTATTTTATTGAATCAAATGAAAAACCTAATGAAGTTTAATTTATGCAGTGAGACTCTTATTGAAAGATAATAAGCTATGAAGAGGTCCAGATCTTCCTTAACTTCCAAGGGATCAACTGCTTCTAATAAGCTGAACACAACAACATCTGATTGTGAGGTACATGTGTATATAAAAAAGTATATGCATATACTCTTGTATTGGTTTGATCATTTTCTTATCTCTTAAATGTATATATAACAAATCAGACCAAGCCATTATTTTGATCATTTCTCTTGTATTGCAGCATGTAAGACCAGGAAAGTGAAATATATGAAACTTTATTGTTAGTGTTCTGATATTGTTAGTGTTTATTTTATTATGAGAAAATCTTGCTTAGAAAACATTTGTAATAATTCAAACCTTAATTTTATTATTTGTTTCTTATGAAGGGGGCTGGCCAGGATGATAGTGTTAATGAAACACCGTCATCTAATCCTCATGTACCAGCAAAGGACTCAGACAGATCTGACAATAATTTGAGTGGGAATGTTAGTGAAACCATAGACTTGGGTGGAATGACGGAGGAAGAGTACTTGGAATCATTGAAAAAAATGAGAGGGCAGCAATCTGGGGGCATTTCACGAGGAGATTTGAGCTTGGTAAGATTAAAGCTTTTGTCATTATTGCAAGCATAAGGGTTTTGCAGCTCACCCAAAAATAAATGGTACAACTGCATTGATAAATCATTTGGAAAAATGCAATGAGTACCCTCCAAATAAAGAACTGCGGAGTAAAAGACAAAAAGTGTTTACTTATGGCAAGTCCAAGGATTTAGTTGTTATAGGATGTACTCAAGAAGAAATTACTAAGGCATGTGTTCAAATGGTAGTTCTAGATGAGTTGCCTTTTAGTCACGTAGAAGGAGAAGGCTTTCGCTATTTTTGTAGGGTTGCATGCCCTCACTGGAAAGTTCCTAGTCGTAAAACTATTGCTAGAGATGTGCTTAATCTGTTTTATTCAGAAAAGACTAAACTGAAAAGTGATTTGAGTTCATATAGGGTGTGTCTCACAACAGATACTTGGACCTTGATCCAAAACATTAACTACATGGTACTCACAGCTCATTTTATTGATCGTAATTGGATGTTGCATAAGAGAATTTTGAATTTTTGTGTGATTCCAAACCACAAGGGTGAATCTGTTGCTAAACTTTTGGAGGAATGTTTAGTAGAGTGGGGTATAGAAAAGATTTTAACTATTACCGTTGATAATGCTTCTTCTAATGATGTTGGGTTGAAAGATTTGATCAAGAGAATAAGTTCTTGGAGAGTTGAAAATGTACTTTTGCATGAGGGAAAAAACTTGCATATGAGATGTGTTGCTCATATCTTGAACTTGATCGTGAATGATGGATTAGGATTGTTGAATAAATGCATTCAAAGCATCCGTAATGCTGTTAGATATGCAAGATCTTCTCCCCAAAGGTTAGAAATGTTTAGGAATTGTGTGGAAAGAGTTAAAATAGAGAGTAAAGGGCTTGTGAACATGGATGTCCCTACTAGGTGGAATTCTACATTTCTAATGTTACAAGCTGCTTTGAAGTTTCGCAAGGCTTTTGACAGGTTGATAGAGGATGACGGTCATTATCTTGGATATTTTATTGGAGAAAAACAAGAAAAGATAAGAGAAGGGCCTCCATTTGATGATGATTGGCAGAAGGCCGAAGTGTTTGCTAATTTCTTGAGACCTTTCTATGAAGTTACTTTGAAGATATGTTGTTTGACCTTCATGTTATTTCCATGTTTATATTTGTGTTTTTGATTAGTTTTGAGTGATTGTTACTCTAGAAATTACACACTTTTGGTGTAAAAGTTTAGTTTGTAAAATGTTTGTAAAATTGTTTAGATTAGGTTGATTCTGAGCTCAAACAGGTCCAAGACCACTCTAGGGACTATTGGTGAACATCACAAGTGGAAGGAAGGTGCAAAAATTCCAAGAAAAAATGTAGATCCTGATTTTTGGTGTTGTACCCCGGTCGAGTATGACCTATACTCGATCGGGTAAGTCGCTGAAAAATCAAATCGGATCAACCCAGGAACAAGGCAACATGCAGGGGAGATTTTTGACCACGATCGAGTGTCTATACCCGATCGGGTAGCCGACATACCCGATCGGGTATGTCCATGTTTTTCCAGCTTCCGCGAAGCAACTGAAGGCCCGGTCGAGTATCCTACATACCCGATCGGATCCACGACCCTGCAGGCCTAAAAAGCCTATAAATACACCCCATTTCCTCCACAATAAATCACCAATTCCTATATACTTCTAAGCTCAGTTTAGATAAGTTATTTCTTTATATTTTCTTAATGTTTAGTCTCCAAGTGAGAAGCTAAACTCTTCCATCTTGGTTTTGCTACTTTGAAGCTTAATGATTTGTAAGTTGTGAGTTATTTTCTTTAATCTTCTTCCTTGAATATTAATTATTTCCTATTCTTATTCCATATTAATATTTGAGCATTGCTTAAAGGATCAATTAGTTTTGTTTCATATATTAATTATTACTAGAATCAATCGGTTAATACGCTTGTTATTAATTCGGTTCTTTCAATGGTAGTAAACTTGGGTTGTTAATGCATGCTTCTCATGATTAATAAGCCAAGAGGAATTAATTATATTGATTAAACCAATAAACCGCTTGTGTTGAGGTTATCAATCTCAATCGTTGTCATCTTAAGTTTATTGCTACTATCAAGTTAATATACGGCGCTTGTTCTATATTGACTTGATAGTAAGTTTTATTAATGAACGCATCTCGTTATTAATAACTACCCTCGATGAACTGGATATACTCCTCAATTGAGTATTCGAGAGGAAGATAGTTAAAGATATAACCGGGATCGACGAACATTTCATTAAGTGGATAAAAGCAAAGCCAAGTCTTCTTCTTATTAATTAAACCACATAACTCGTTCATCTTCGTGTTTAAATATAATTTAAGTTCATTTACTCAATCTAAAACCCACCCCTTGTTACTAGTTTATAAAGAGAAAAGTATTCCTTTCCCTGTGGATACGAACCTTACTTCGTTATACTACGTATAATTGTTGTATTGTATTATTATTTTGAGTGCACACCACGACAAAGTGCACGTCAAATTTGGCGCCGTTGCCGAGGAAAGGCAATTATTTTTCTTTTTCTTTTATTTCAAGAAAAATCAAAAAAAAAATATATAATAAAATATAAAGAGTTCTTCTTCTATTTCTGAGCTTTGTAAAGTATATGGTAAAATATCGTTCACTGAACGAAATCACCTACCAATCAAACCCCGAAATAGAGCAAGCTCTCGAACGGTTGAAAAATAAATTCTCAACTACCGACTCGAGAGATTCATCAAGTGCTAGCTCTTATTCTAGCGAGCCTGAAGAGCCAACAACTATGGCTCTCGAAACAAGAACGTTGAGGGAGCTCACAGCTCCAAACTTGAATCAACAACCACTATGTATTATCTTCCCTACACTCAACGAAGGTAATACATTTGAGCTCAAATCAGGGCTCATTCATCTTTTGCCATCTTTCCATGGCTTAAGAGGAGAAGACCCAAATAAACATCTCTCGGAGTTCCATGTTGTTTGCACGAGCATGTGCCCCAATGGAGTCACCGAGGAACAAATAAAGTTGAGGGCCTTTCCATTCTCCCTCAAAGATACCGCAAAAGATTGGCTATTCTATCTGCCTTCGGGAAGTATAGATACATGGGCGGCCATGAAGAAAGCTTTCCTTGAAAGGTACTATCCAGCCTCTGTCTCCTCATCTCTCAAGAAGCAAATAAGCAATGTGGAGCAAAAAGATGATGAATCGTTCTATGAATATTGGGAACGATTCAAGAAACTTTGTGCAAGCTGTCCGTATCATGGCTATTCGGAGCAAGACCTCATCCTATACTTTTATGATGGTCTTTGCAACGATGATAGACGGATGATTAATGCCGCGTGTGGAGGAGGAATCGTTAACAAGACTCCTTCTCAAGCTATGAATCTTATCTCGGAGTTGGCCGAGAATTGTAGATATCATAACGGGCGGTCATCAACAAAAAGAGTTATGGCGGCAGAATCAACATCGTCACTAGAAAGTCAAGTTGCCGGCTTGACTTCTTTGGTTAAGGATTTTCTTTTAAATTCCAAGACCCACAAAGTCAAGGTCTGCGGCATTTGCACACAACAAGGCCACCCCACCGATGCATGCCCGACCCTTCAAGAAGACAACCCCGAGCAAGTCAACGCTTTGGGGTTCCCAAACCAAAAGAGGTATGATTCTTACGGCAACACTTATCACCCTGGGTTTAGAGATCATCCCAATCTCCGTTATGGGAATCCGCAAGGAAACCCACAACAAAATAACCCTCCACCAAATCAATTTCCTCCAAATAAACAACCGTACTCTAAACCCCAAGGCCAAGGCTCAACTATGTCCATCGAAGACATGATCCGAGCACTCACCTCAAATGTTTCAACCATGCAACAAAACATGGTTCAATTCCAACATGAGACAAAATCAAGCATCCAAAACCTTGAGTATCAAATGAGCCAAATCTCAAGTGTGGTGAGTAGGCTTGAAGCCAAGGATTCAACAAAGCTTCCATCTCAAACGGAGCCGAATCCTAGGCAACAAGCCCATGCGGTGACATTGAGGAGTGGCAAAGAGTTGGTGATTGCCAAGGAGAAAGCCAAAAGCCACATTGGCGAGGAAGAAGAGGAGCTTGTGGATAAAGCTCAACCGGAAGAAGAGGAGGTTCACATACCGACTCCACCACCGACCATCCAAGAAGTTGAAGCACCGTTTCCCGAAGCTCTAAGGGAAACACGGAGGGTGGAGAAAGACAAAGATATCTATGAGACATTCTCCAAATGTGAGGTAAATATTCCCCTCCTTAACTTAATAAAAGGTGTCCCTAGATTTGCAAAATTTTTCAAGGAGTTATGCACAATAAAAAGGAAGCATAGACTCAATGGAAAACAAAAAGTCCAAGTTAGTGAACGTGTTTCCGCGGTTTTCCAAAAGAAACTTCCAAAGAAATACAATGACCCGGGCATGTTCACTATACCTTGTAAGTTGGGAGGCACTACGTTTTCAAAGGCCATGCTGGATTTAGGAGCATCAATCAATGTTATTCCTTATTCTTTGTATAAATCACTTGAGCTTGGCCCTTTAAACGAAACCGGAGTGGTTATTCAACTTGCGGATAGATCAAATGCCTACTCTAAGGGTATTGTCGAAGACGTACTAGTTATGGTAGACAATTCGATCTTTCCCGCCGACTTTTATGTTTTGGAAATGGAAAATGATAAGAATGCGGTTCCTATCCTTTTAGGAAGGCCATTTTTAAAGACCGCTAGAGCTAAAATCGATGTTTTTAGCGGATCTTTAACAATGGAATTTGATGGAGATAAAGTTGAATTTAACATTTATGACTCCATGAAATACCCAAATGAAAATCATTCTCTATTTGCCATTGATATTATTGATCCTCTTGTGCAAGACACTTTTGAAATGAATGGGGAGGATGAATTGTTAAGTGTGATTGAGAATGACTTTGGGGAAAATTCTATAGAACTTGCCTTAACCCCCAACATACAAGCAATGATGGTGGAATTGGATAATCATTTCCAACTCCCACTTATGCCACCGGGGTCAAGAGCATTTCCACTAACCATCCCCGAAGAAAAGCCTTTGCCTTCTATTTTACAGGCTCCCGAAGTTGAGATGAAACCACTCCCAACACATTTGAAATATGTGTACTTGGGAGAAAAAGAAACCTTGCCGGTCATAATTTCCAACAAATTGACCCAAGAGCAAGAAGAAAAGCTGATTGCGGTGCTTAAAGAGCACAAACTTGCAATCGGATGGACTATAGCCGACATCAAAGGCATTAGTCCATCTACTTGCATGCACCGCATCTTGATGGAGGATGAAGCCAAGCCAGTGCGCCAACCACAACGGAGATTGAACCCACCTATGATGGAGGTGGTAAAAAAGGAGGTCATCAAGCTTCTCCAAATGGGGATAATCTTCCCCATATCCGATAGCAAATGGGTTAGTCCAACCCAAGTTGTTCCCAAGAAGACCGGAGTCACGGTGGTGGAGAACAAACATGGAGAACTTATGCCCACCCGAATTCAAAATGGATGGAGGGTATGTATAGATTACCGTCGCCTCAACGCGGTAACTAGAAAGGATTTCTTTCCCTTACCCTTCATTGACCAAATGCTTGAGAGACTTGCGGGGCATAAGTTCTATTGCTTCCTTGATGGCTACTCCGGGTATTTTCAAGTACCCATAGCCCCTGAAGATCAAGAGAAGACAACATTCACTTGTCCGTTTGGCACTTTTGCCTACCGACGTATGCCATTCGGACTTTGCAACGCACCCGCCACCTTCCAAAGATGCATGATGAGCATATTCTCCGAGTATGTTGAGCTATTTATGGAAGTTTTTATGGATGACTTCACAATCCATAGAGACTCATTTGATTCATGTTTATATCATCTCTCCCTTGTGCTCAAAAGTTGTTTAGAATCAAACCTCGTTTTGAATTCTGAAAAATGCCACTTCATGGTGGAAGAAGGAATTGTTCTAGGCCATGTGATCTCATCCAAAGGGATAGAGGTTGACAAGGCCAAAGTTGAAGTCATCCAATCACTCCCTTATCCTACCACCGTTAGGGAGATACAGTCATTCCTTGGACATGCAGGTTTCTACCGGAGATTCATCAAAGATTTCTCAAAGATTACATCTCCTTTATGCACTCTTTTGCAAAAGGAGGTGGAATTCATCTTCTCTGAGGAATGCAAGAAGGCTTTCAATACATTGAAGGAGAAACTCGTGACCGCACCAATCATTCAAGCACCCGATTGGTCTCTCCCCTTTGAGATCATGTGTGATGCTA